GTTTTTAACGATTTTTTCAAAATACACTATCGAATTATTAAAAAAACTATGATTTCTTATCGGATTTTTCAAAAAATAATTAGTTTTTAACAGATTTTTCAAAATAAACTATCAATTTTTTCAAAAAACTACGAGTTTTTATCGGATTTTTCAAATACACTATTGAATTTTTCAAAAACTATGAGTTTTGTCAGATTTTTTTGAAAAATTCGATAAAATCAATTTCTATTTTTTCGTCTATCGAAAATGAACTACCATTGTTTTCGAAAAATCCAAAAAAATTTAAATCATACCAGATTTTTAGAATACACTACTTGATTTTTCAATTGCACAATGGGTAGAATTTGAATAGGATATTATAGTACTCATCCCTATACTCTCAGTTTGAAAAATTGTCGTAATCGAACTCATACCCGTGTGGACAACAATACCTGTACTCGTACTCGTATCTTATGAGTACCTAAGTACTCATACTTATACTCGTTTACCTGTATCTCTAATAAAATCATCAATCAATTCTCGTATTTTCTGGTGTCTGCAATTTTAGGGGAGGGTTGGGTAGTCAGGTGACCTCTTTGTTATTCAGGTGGTCGTGATTACATCCTTTCTACCTCCTCTTTTGGGGAGTGTTATGCATGGTATTTCGGGTGAGCTTTTTCATCGACTAGAGTATTGTCTTATGTTTTTGTTTTTTGAGGTTTTGATGTTAGTTCTTTTTTTTTTTTTAATTTGTTGTTGCTTGTGGTTTTTGTGCACCTCTTGTGCACTTGGTTGTATCTTGTATTCTTTTCTTTTTCTAATATATTTTTCTGCATTGTCATTCAAAAAGAATTTATCATGTCTTTTTAATTTTTTGACAACATTTAAAAAAAATCACATATTTTATTGTTGAGTTAAGAAATAAAGAAATATTTATATTAAAATGCGTATAAATTTAATATTAATAAATTTGATAAAATTGATAAACATACATGTGTTTATATATAATAAAAAATAAAAAATAAAAATATATATTTTGTGAGTATAGAGTATGGTGAATATTAAGGTAGTCGTACCTACGCCCATATCCATTTATTTTAGTGGATAATTGTTCATTCCCGTACTATTTTGCAGATTTTTATCTTATTTATTATATAATTTTTGCAGATATTAAGGATGGATTATGTTGCCATTCCTAACTACTGAATTTTTTACTTACTCTTTTTTAATAAAGATATTTTAAAAATATAAAAATATGTGAGATGTCAAATGCGATTTTAGGGTGTGAGGATCAAGTCTCAGGATTGTCCCATCCTTACACAAATATACAACAAGCTCATCAAAGTTTTGTTACTACCAAAGAAGAGTTTTGTTTACCAGGAAAGTTGGGAGCATCACAACCTTATATACTATCGAGAGCATAGGATCAAAACAAGCCTCCTCATATCATGTTCGAACATATGAATTTTGTCATTTTATATTTCAAGCAATGAAGCAATTCTACAATATCTGGAAAAAAAATAGGGTTATAAAGATTTTATCTAAGATGTATGCATGGAAATCTATTATATATATTAAAATATACTGTAGCATTTTGTCACAAAATCATTTTTGCCACATCACTCATAATCTCGAGTAGCATCTTCTAAACTAATGTTTACTTTTCAAAAGTCAAAATTAGAAGTTTTTACCTACATACCACTTTTTTACTAATAAATTCTTATACTACCATACATTTCAACACATATTTCCAATATACCATGTTTTCAAACAAAATAAAAATTGAAGTAAGAGGCTACGCCCATTAGATTGACAGATGCTCTCTAAATTATACAACTTTCACCCATTGAACTAGCGGAGCTGTTATAATGTCATTTTTTTTAATATCATATTAAATTATACAGTTTCACATTAACACTCTTCCGTCCATTGGATGGACGGAGCCTCTAAAAATTATAACACTTCCGCCCATTGCTTTTGTAGATGTCAAATATTTTCCATAGCTCTGCCCATTCATCTGGCGGATGCTTTGTGACAAAAGTAAAATTTGTTTGAAAACATAGTAGTATGAGAATATTGATTGAAGATGATGGTATTGTGGAATTTTTTATGTAAAAAGATGGTAAGATAGTAAAAAATTCTCAAAATTATACTTGAAATCACGAGTTTAAATCCTAAAAAATACAAAAAATAATATATATTAACCTAATAACTATTTACATATGATAAAAAAACTTATAAGACAATATTTCTATTTTTCTTTCAATTATTTTTAATTAATAAAATTAAAATAAAAGAAATTTTGCATATCTCATCTATATAATATATCTAAAATAATTTAAGTTTCTTTATATTTCTAAAAATAAATTGTTATATTACTCTTTCATCATACCATTTATAACAAAATAGAGAATATATACACTTATGACAAGTCAATCGTTAGTTTTAACATTTGATATTAAAATCACTTTATAAAAACTTAAATATAATATAATACATATATCATTTTTTTATATTTCAAAAACATGCTCGAGATTCAACTCATTATAACATTTTATTCTTATTATAAGAATTATTTTAAAAATATATGAATTTAAATCTTATTTTAAACTAAAAGTTATAATAACACAAGAATTAATTCAACTAAATATACTTAATTAATTGAGTATATTTCCTAAAATAATTTTCAATATAATGTCACTAAAATAATTTTAAATTTTTTTTTATTTAACATATTAAAAGTGATAGTACTTTTTGATTATACTACTTACAATAAACAATACTTTTATGAGAAGCCTATCTTTGATTTTTAAATCACATTTCTAAAATTTTAATACGATACAATACATATATCACTTAATATATATATATATATATATATATATATATATATATATATATATATATATATATATATATATATATATATATATATATATATATATATATATATATATATATATATATATATATATATATATATATATATATATATATATATATATATATATATATATATATATATATATATATATATATATATATATATATATATATATATATATATATATATATATATATATATATAAAAGCTCTCAATATATTTTTCACATACAATTATTTTTGTCACATCACTCCTATTCCTACGTGCTATCTTTTAAAATTTATTTTCACTTTTTAAAAGTCAAAATCACATAGAGTCTCAATTTAAAATTATAAGTTCGAATTTTTAAAAATGAAAAAAATATATTAATCTAATTACTACTTACAATATTTTCATGAATCTTATAAAATAATATTTCTATTTTTCTTACAATCATTTTTTTAATTATAAAATGCAAAAATATACTAACCTAATAATTACTTACATGTTCTCATAAAACTTATAAAACAATATTTTTATTTTCTTTGCAATTGTTCTTTAATTAATAAAAAAATTACATATTTTTTTCATATAATATATCTAAAATAATTTTAACTTCTTTCTTTAAAAAAACAAAATGTTATACTAATCTTTCATATACTATTTATAACAAACAATACTTTTATGACAAGCTAATTATTAATTTTAACAGTTGATATTAAAATTACTTTGCAAAAACTCAAATACAATATAATAAATATATTATTTTCTTATATATATATCATACTTTAGTAAAGAATGAACAAAATAATTTAAATAAAAAAGTATAAAAATATTAAGAAAATGAACAAAATAATTATTAAAAAAATTTTAAAAAGGGCGTGGATAAATTATTACATGTCAACTCAACTAAAATTGTATCATATCACTGAAAATAAGCATCAAATTAAATGGAGGACTAAATTCAAACACAATAAACTTAAAAACTAAATTAAAATAGTGATTTTTTAAATAGGAGAATCAAAATTAAAAAAAAAATACTAAATAGAAGGATCAAAGTTGCAATTAAGCCTTTTTATTGTTAGGTCAACATGTATTTTTAAATTTTGCTTACAACTATGTTTAAAATATTATAAAAATTCATCATGCAAAGAATGAGCTCAAAATATATAATTCCTAAATCCACATTTTTGTTACTTTTATTTTGAGTTTTCATGTTTAAAAAATTACTCTTTGTTCCAAAATAATTGTGTATTTGATAAAATTATTTGTCCTAAAATAATTATTGATTTTAGTTTTTAATGAAATTTTAATTTTAATTTTTTAATTCTACCTTTTAATTAATATTTTTAATTTATTATTTTCTTACTTTATATTTATGATAATTTAAATACATCAATAGTAAATAAATATAGTTTAATAAAAATATTATTCTCTCTTTTATTTATCGTATTTTTTTAATCCATCTGAAATGATAAACTATGATAATTATTTTGTAACCGATGGAATAATATTTGTTCATATGTTTTAAACAATTCTAAATTTTAGTAATTAAACTTTCTACAGTGTTACATAATTAAAAAAAAAAAGGTTTTTTTTAAAATCATAAATACAAATTGGATTTGACATATTAAAATTGCACATGGTAAAATTGGGAGAAATTAGGTTAGGGTTTGGATTTGGGGCTTGGAGAGTTAAATTTGCAAGAAATTGAAGATGGAAGAGATGAATTATGGTTGGCACATGACATAGGAGAATGAATGTTGCAACTTTAAACCTGAACATTGGTAAATGGTATCCTGATCGTCCCATCTCAATATCTTAGGTTTTTTCTTCCGTATGTCTTCATAACAAATTATTTATAGAACTTTTAAAAATCTAATAAATTTCGTTTGCCTTATTGGTTGATGTATGATTCTAATAAACCTGAAGCTTTGTATAAGCGTTAATGTTGATAATTTATTTTAACAAATTATAAAGTTTGCACTCGATATAGAGAGTCCATCACATAACAAGGAACAAACATAGTAGTTTTTATTGATGAAATACATTAGAGAAATCAAACAAACATACATAAAAACAATATCATACGGGGTGAGGGAATTGAATTCATTCTCACCGATTATTCATAGCAACAATACAACAACCCTGACACTTTTTAGATGGAGATACTGTTGGGAATGCCTCTAAAAGTCAATCCAGCTTCACTGGAAGGATAAAGTATAGTGTATGGCATCTTCACAGGTCCATATCGGTTTGTCAATAACTCATCATTGTTCTTTTCAATGAGATTTTTCTCAATTTCTGCCAACTTTGCTCCAAACCTCTTGTAGGCCTCTATTGGTTGTGAATCAGAAGTCCAAAGATCACCTTCAATTCTCTGTCCGAGGTATTGCTCATCAGAAACATGCGTTGACAATAGCTCCAAAACGGTCATGTTCAAAAGGGCCTCATTCTTTGGTGTGATTGTACTCAAATACACCTTCTCATAGTCATTAATAAGCTCATCATACTCAGGAGATCCTTTCTTAGGCATAAATCTTCTGCTCTTAGTTGGCCGGTTAACAATGTATCCTCCGTAAGGATATTGTCCAAAATTAACAGATGCATGAAGTGTTGAAGTAATCCATATAAGGATGGTACAAGCTTCAATCAGCTCTTCACGAGTTTGCATTTTAAACCACCATGTTGCATTCTTCAAGTCACCATGGCCCACTTCTACGAGTTCTTTCCAGAATGCTTGGAGTTCAGAATCTTGTACAATAGTTGCATCTGACTTGTAGTAGAAATTCACATAGTCTTCAACCCAAGACTTAATAGCACCCCATATCTCTAGTCCATCAGAAGCATAAGGGTAGTCCTCTATCAGAAGGCGGAGACCATATGGAGAAGATGAATCCTCAATAGCGACTCCTCTGGATGATGGGAAAGGAAGATAACATTAGCGTATAAAAAATATTATGGAAGGGTATCGTTATTTATTAATGTAATACTAGTAAAAATGTTACAACTCTTTGAGGATATTTGAAACATATCTAATAGAAATATAAAGTTAGTTGAAACATGGACTAAGCCAAGATGTAATATTTGTAAGGTTACCTTTTGATTAGATCACTAGGTAGCCCTTGTTCAGTGAAAACCCAATCTTTGTAAACATCAGCAGACATTTCCATACTATAAGCTCCTAACAAGTATGTTGACTCTATAGTGCCTCCTGCATTGATCAAAGCTTTTCGTGCACCGGAATTTATGTTCATTGTGTTACGGTAGTGTGGAAGTAATAGTTTTTGAATAGGATGAACCACACTAAGATGCCTATTTGTTGCTATGATGAATGGCTCAACAACAGCATGAGTTTTCAACCTGTCAAACATGTAGATATAAATATATACATAATTACTCATAGATAGATCAAATGTAGTACTTGATTTAATAAAAAAGGATTGATGAAATACACACCAATGGCTGATAAGCTCGTGATAACATGCGTCATTTACAACAACGTAAGCCTTGGAAAGGAGCCAAAGTGAAGTTTCAACACGTTCAGTTGCAGGCAAATAAACACTACTAACAGGACCAAGACTATCACCTTGAAGATTTGGCTTACTTAGCTCAACGGCCAATGGCTTCAAAGTTCCATCATCTTGCAAAAAAAGAAAGGTCCTTGTAGCATATGCCTTTGCCCCAGTTGCATTGATCTTCCCCAAATATGGCATTATTGCATCATGATGATCAAGTATGTACAATCTATTGTCTTGGATAGCCTATTAGACAAAACAAAATTTAGTCATTATGGTTCATTTGATTAAAAAAATCAATTCAACCAAAAACAATAAAACTAATTCTTTCGATTAACAATGTTGATTGCAACATTGTTTACCTGTTCTACATTGACCTCGCCCATGTTTCGCTCTAACTGTTCTTTAGTTATTGTGGTGGTATTGTCACCATAGAGTTTTCTATCTACCTTGCTCTTTGGTGGAAACTCCTACATTAAATATATAGTACGAAATAAGTTGATTGCCAATTATAAATATGACATGAAAAATGATAAATGAGCATCATAGTCTTTTTTTTCTTCTTTTTCACTAGCTTAAAAATATTTAACTATTAAGTTTAATTACCAGAACTTTTGTGATGACGTTTGGATTCACACCAGCAATCATCTCTCTTGCAAATTCCTCATCAGTCATCCATGCCGAATGATCCACTACACATAGTAAAAAAAAATTCAAAAGATCCATGATCTTTATTTATATGATTTTGCATATTATTTAACACATTGCTATGACTATAAGATTAAGACTAATATACCTTCAATCACTTTTGGTACTGAAAAAACACTTGATTCACCATAAAAGAGTGAGAGTACATCTTCGAAGGAGTTAAACTCAGGTTGATCTTCTCTCAATGTACCTAGAGATTTTAATTGAGGTATGGCATTTTGAGATACTGATTTTAGTATGTCAACAAGAAAGTTTGAGGATTCCGTGTGGCCAAGTAATTCATCTCTTGGAATGTAAAAATATCCACTCCTACTCTCCGTCTTTGGATCTGTTCATATATATAATAACAAAATATGTTTTAGCAACAATAATAAAATCTTTAGAACCAAAAGCAAAGTAAGCATTTGGATCAACAAAAAAGACATGTTTAATCCAAAATGTAGCACCATGCTAGTAATAGCCTTACAAAAAATTGAAAACACACATAGGTGTACCTTCCTTGGTTGGTTCTCTGCCTGTTCTTCCCCTTCGAGGGTAAGGCATGGTGCTTGATCCCCCAAGAACTGGACGAGCCAAGGTAGCATCTTTGTCTGGCTCGCCCAAATCATTGTAGACATCATAATCATATATTCTTTCCCACACCTTGCGCTCTCCAGTTCCATCTCCTCTTAAAGTCTTCAATTCTTCGTGTCTATAGTACACTAATGGAAGCGGTGTTTCACTTGGAAGGTATGTCTACATAATTTAAACCATTGATGATGTCAAGTTCTTGGAAAAAAAGAATATATGTTTAAAAAACTACATAGGAATAATACAATGGTTTGGTGATTTGGGAGACAACATTGTGAACATTTGTCATTAAAAAAAGATTTACCAAACTGCATGTTGTATAGAGTTTATATCTTTACCTTATTGGTGAAGAAGATGCGGTCAGTTTTGTACTTTACAACATTGTAAACCCATGAGTTGCAAACAAAGTTTAAGGTTCCATGATTTGGAACATCCTCAAGTGTCAAACTCACAAGGAAGAATTCATCTTGCTTAAAATTCTCAATATAAAAAGCTCCTGGAACTCCCATGTTATTATGGTCCCATTCAAAATGAATACTATAAGCAGTTTGTTTGTCTTCCAAAGTTGGTATGGAAGTGAGAACACCTTCCAAAAATGTCTGCTTTCCCACTTTTCCTTGCCCATTTCCTATCAAAATGTCAAAAATTAGATTTTCAATTTCACTAATTAGTTAAGTATTCAATCAAATAACTAAATTTTTTATAGAGAAAAAAAAAAGTGTTTTTCAAGTTAGTGTTTATATTGAAATAAGGAAGTTACTATACCATCATCCTTTGTAGCACTAATCAATCTGAGAGCCACCGAATTTCCCAAGAATGAAGTGGCGGGATCAACTATAGAACCATCGATATCACCACTAATATCGATGGTTCTTCCGATGATACCACCAAAGCTTTGAGCTGCAGCGGGGGCATTAAAGCTCAGCACATTCTTTTGCACTAACACCACAGTTCCCTTCAGCTTTTGGCTTTCATCAACGTTACTTTTCACCAATGAAGTCATCTTAATTAACTAATATGATGCTTCTCAAACAAACTATATTTGGAAAATTAAAGAAAAGCTTGTGCCTTTTAACCATAGAGAATGCTTCCTATTTATAGTAGTTTGAGATCACTAATTAACAATTTAAATAATACTTGATGGAGTTTTTTTATCATGGGATGATTATCACGTGGTATGTAAAATAATAATAATATACTCTATCCAAAAAAAAATAAAGGATAATATATTCTGATTATTTTGATTGTTACTTTGGCATTATGTTCAATAATGATTTTGTTTGCTATATTTTATTTTTATAGAAGTCGGTGTAGGTCAGTAGAAAAATAAACATTCTTTTGATATCACTAAAACTCTATTTGTGAAATTTAAATTTTAACTTCAATATTTCATTACTCAAGGGATTCATTTGAAGAAGAACAAACTGAGATTATCGTCTTCTCAATTTTTTCAAATTTTTTTTATTACTCAGTTATTATTATTTTTCTAATATATATATATATATATATATATATATATATATATATATATATATATATATATATAAAAGTTATTGTATACTAGATTTTTGTACTCAATATATTGGACTTAAATATTAAGTTTCTACAATTAAAAAAACTCAATTAATCGAGTTAAATATAAAAAAGAGTTTGAAAATTAATTTATTATATGTGAAATATTTGATCGAATTCTAATATGGTTGAAGGATAGTTTATTGATTTGACAATTCAACAAGATCTTAGCATTGCCGTTGAAGTCTGTTCACATGTTGTAGTCGAAATTCTATAATGTTGTAGTCGAAGTATGTTCAAGTATGCAATAGTCGAAATGTTAGGATTGTTAGCATATCGAATTGTGCTTAATTGTTAAGTCCAATTGTTTATGTTAGCCTATTCCCTAAGTTAGCTTGTGTAATGGACATGTGTGTAAAAACCCAATAGTTTAGTGTGTTAGTTTTCTTATAAATAGCATATTAGTCTTACACCATTGGAACAATGCAAGTCCTAATTAGGGTGAGAGAGGTTATATGTTATTTTGTAACACTTGTAATCTTGTTTTAAAGAGAAAGTAAGGAATACCAGTTTATTATCAATTACATTGTGTTTTTCTTGCTTCCCTCTTTTCTACTATTGTGGGTTTCTTTTCGATCAAGAAACCAGTTATACTTTGTTATTTCGACACCATTTTCACAATAAATTAGTGTGGTGAGCGTGGAGAAGATGCCATCACAAAGTATGTGATTGAAAAGTTCACCTGAGTGAAAGATTTCAGTCTATGACGCTTGAAGATGAAAGTCCTACTGGTTCAGCAGGATTGGTTAGAAGCGTTGAAGGGAGTCACAACCATGGATGTTGCGTTAACGGAAAAAGAAAAAATGATTGTGGTAGAGAAAACCCACAACGCCATCTTATTCAGTCTTGGTGATAAGGATCTCCGACAGGTCTCGAAGGAGACGACGACGCCGGGTTTATGGGTGAAACTCGAAAGTTTGTACATGACCAAATTGTTAGTCAATCGCCTCTACCTGAAGCAAGCTCTGTATTCATTCAACATGAGTGAAGACAAAGTCATGGATGAGCAGTTGGATATGTCCAACAAGCTGATTCTTGATCTTGAAAATATCAATGTCAAGATTGATGATGAAGATTAAGTGTTGTTGATGTTGTGTGCTTTGACTAGATCACACACTCAATTCAAAGAAACTCTCTTGTATGGAAGAAAGTATCTGACCTTAGAAGAAGAACAATCAACCTTGTATTCTAAGGATTTAAACGAATGAAAGGAGCACAAGCCATCTTCGACTGGTGAAGGTTTGTCGATTAAGGCAAAATTTACAAAGAGAAATGACAAGCTCGAGAAGAAGAAGGGTAAAAGTTAGCATAAGTCTTATAGTGGTGATGCATCTTATATTCAATGTTATCATTGTAAGAAGGATGGTCATATAAGAAAAGTATGCCCTGAACTCCTGAAAGATCAGGGAGGTAAAGATAATTGCAACGCGACCATTGTTCAAGAAGATTTTGACTCATCTGATGTTTTTGTGGTTTCAAGCAGCGACTCAAGTAAAGAGTGGGTTATGGATTCAGATTTCACTTGAAACATAAATCCAAACAAAGATTTGTTCGAGGAACTATATGATCAAGATAGTGAATCTGTATTGCTGGGAAATAGTAAACCTTGCAAGATTGCAGGTGTTGGATCTGTGAGATTCAAGCTTCATGATGAGACAACAAGGTTGTTGACTGAAGTCGGATATGTACCTGATTTGAAGAAAATTTGATTTCTCTTGGTGAATTCGACAAGAAAGGATATGTTTTCCAAGGAGAGAAACATATCCTAAGAGTCATGAAGGGGTCGAAGGAAGTCTTTGGAGGCGTGAAGATACAAGGCTTGTATACCCTTGAAGATGAAGTTGTAAGTGGTTCCAAGAATGTTGCATCCACGAAACCTTTGTCGAAGACAAAAATTTGGCACAAGATATTATGCCATGTTAGTAAAAGGGGTCTAGTCGAATTGGGGAAACAAAATCTACTTGGTGGAGACCATGTCGAAAAGTTTAAGTTTTCTGAACCCTGTATACTTGGAAAATCTTGCAGAGTGAAGTTCAATAAAGGAAAACAAAGAACACGTGGATCCCTTGATTACATTCATGCTGATCTTTGCTGGCCTGCAAGGTTTCCATCACATTCAGGAGTAAGGTATTTTCTATCCATAGTTGATGATTATTCCAGAAAGTTATGGATATTCATTCAGAAGACCAAGGATGAAACTTTTGAGAATTTCAAAGGTTGGAAGAATCTGGTCGAAAATCAGACTGGCAGAAAGGTCAAGAGGTTGAGAACCGAGAATGGTCTTGAATTTTGCAATGAGGTGTTCGATAGTTTTTGTGAAACCTCTGATATTGCAAGGAACAAAAATACTGTAGATACTCCCCAACAAAATGGTTTGTCTGAAAGGTTTAATCGAACTATTTTATAAAGAGTTAGATGCATGTTGACTACTGCTGGGTTAAAGAAGGTGTTTTGGGAAAAGGTTGTTTCGACAACAACATATCTGATAAACAGACGTCCTTCAATTGTGTTAGATATGAAGACACATAAATAAGTTTGGTCAAGACATCCACCCGATCTTGAAAAACTTAGAGTATTTGGTTGCATAGCATATGCTCACATTAGGCAAAACAAGGTTGAACCTAGATTTCTGAGATACATATTCATAGGATACCATGAAGGAGTCAAAGCTTATAGACTATGGTGTCTAGAACTAGGTCATATAAGGTGTATCACCAATTGATATGTGATTTTCAATGAAGCTAAGGTGGCTTTCAAGAAAACCGACGATGTTGATCGAAGTGCAGAGATATTTGAAGAAGAGCTAGAACATGAAGAGATTCATGTTGATATGGAGCATGTCGATGGTGAATTATGTATCCCAGAACAAGTCAGAGAAGAAGCACAAGATGCTGAAGATATTGAGGAAGTTGAGAAAACTATCGATGACTACCTGTTGGCAATGAGAAGAGTCATCATTTCACCTCAAGATGGAGAACCTAGACACTATAATGAAGTTGTGAGGAGTCAAAATAAGATTGAATAGCTGAAGGCCATGGATGATGAGATGAAATCTCTTTATGATAACCATACTTGGGAATTGATCAAGAAACCTGCTAGAGCTAGGTAAGTCAGTTGTAAGTAGATTTTCAAAGTTAAGGAAGGAATTAAAGGAGTGACATCGAAGAGATACAAGGAAATATTGGTCGCAAGGGGTTTCCCTCATAAAGAAGATGTCGACTTCAATTATATTTTATCTCTTTGTGAAGCACAGGTCCATTCCAATGTTACTTTTCATGGTGGTACAGTTCGACCTAGAAATGTAACAAAAGGATGTGAAGACTGCTTTCTTATTTGGAGATCTAAATGAAACAATCCTGATGAGGCAACCTGAAGGGTATGAGAAAGGGGAAAGGAAGATTATGTGTGCAAGCTGAACATATTACTATCTGGCCTGAAACAATCTCCTCGACAATGGAATAGGAGATTCGACAGGTTCATGGCACACATAGGTTTCATTAGAAGTCAGTTCGACCATTATGTTTACTTCATATTTCAACTTGGAAACATTTGCTATTTTGTTGCTTTATGTGGATGATATTCTCATAGAAAGCAACAATATCAGGGATGTAATGAAGGTAAAGGTTGAACTCAATAAGGAGTTCGACATGAAGGATCTGGGAGATGCATCCAGAATTATTGGGATTGACATCCGAAGAGATAGAAAGCAGTCAAAATTATGCTTATCTCGAGAGACATACCTACGGAAGATTCTCGACAAGTTTGGTATGTCGAATTCAAAGCCTGTTGTGACTCCGACAAATCCTTAATTCAAGATGAGTATAGATCAATGTCTCAACATTGAGGTTGAAATGGCTTATTATCGTACCCCAAATTTGCCCTACCTTTATTTTCAAGATTAAAATAGAAGAGAAATGTTTTAATTAATGATGGTTCAGCAATATCTAATGGCTCATTCTTAAATCCAAGTTAACTAGGGTGTGTACTTTAATTTAGGGGAGTGGGGCTTTCTATATTAGAAAGACCCATATACCCGTAGGCCCATTTACGAAGCATGTTGGCCAATGGCCCATGAGATTCGAATATGGAAAGTTGTTGCAGAAAAAATTATTAAGCTTAATTATTATTAAGTCCATATTGTTGTTGTTAGTAAAAATGAGGGGTGAGATTTAAAAGCCCATCAGAATTCGCATGGCCCGTTCGTTTTTTACTAAATAGCAAAAAGTAAAGATTCCAAACTACATTAAGGTTTTTTCTTCAGCGGGCCCATTTTGTTTTAAGTTGTTGGATAGTAGTAAGGAGGGGGGTGCATGTTTTGGGCCCAGATAATGGATACAATCTCGGTCCATTTAATTCATTTTTAGAAAATTGCTTTATTATCACTGTTATTATTAAACCTTTTTATTACAATTATTCTATTAATTATTTTTA